AAACCAAAAACTAGTTCCTTGAAAAAAAATAGAGAAATTAGATAATCATTTACTTAGACCACACCCTCTGCAAAATAAGAAGACAAAAATGACCAATATCAGGAAATAAAGAGGGAGATCACTGTAATCTCTACAAACATTAAAAAGATAGCAAGGAAATACTGTCTATAAATTTAATAACATAGATGAAATTTAAAAATTCTTGAGAAACACAAACTGCATAAAATCACTCAAGAAAAAAACATTTAACTTGAATAATCCTATACATACTAAAGAAACTAAATTTGTATTTCAAAATATCCCCCCCACCCACCCAAACACCCCACTACACACACACAAAATTTCTGGTTCAGAAGGTTTCACTGGGAAATTGTAGCAAACTTTTAAGAAATAAATAATGCTTATTTAATAAGAAATTTTCCAGGCCACCGTGAAGGAGAAACATTTCACAATTCATTTTATGAGGCCAACATTACACTGATACCAAAACTACACAAAAACAATACAAGAAAAATACAGACTAATATCTTAATGAAAATAGATGGGAAAAAAAAGAAAAACACCTCAACAAAATACTAGCAAATCAAATTCAACAATACATGAAAAGAACAGTATACCATGACCAAGTGGATTTTATCCCAGGTATGCAAGACATATTCAACACTCAAAAAGTAATCAGTGCAATTCATTTCAACACTGACCAAGAAAGATTACGTAGTTATCCTAATATATGCAAAACAGCATTTGACAGAATTCCTTTTTGATGAAAACTCTCAACAAATTGAAATAAAAAGGAACTTCTTCAATATAATAAAGAGCATCTACAGAAACCTACACCTAAATACTAGGTAATAATGAAAGACAAAGTTTTTCCACTAAGCTCAGAATCAAAGCAAAGATAACTACTTTTACCACTCTTATTCAACATAATATAGTGTAATCAGTCAAGATACATCAATAATAGAAATGAATATTGGGGAGGAAGAAATAAAACTGTCATTTTGCACACTAATTATATAATTTTCTATGGAGAAAAATCCCAATATTTTGGGAAAGGTATCAGAATGATAATCAGTGGGTTTGGGAAGATTACATGATGGAAGGTCAATATACAAAGGTCAATGGAATTTTTATATATTAGTAAGCAGCAGTTTCAAATTGAAAGTTATAAAAGTACTATTTACAGGGGATCCCTGGGTGGCTCAGCCGTTTAGCACCTGCCTTTGGCCCAGGGCTTGATCCTAGAGTCACCTGCCTTTGGCCCAGGGCGTGATACTGGAGTCCCTGCATGAAGCCTGCTTCTCCCTCTGCCTGTGTCTCTGCCTGTCTGTCTGTCTCTGTCTCTCTCTCTCTGTGCCTCTGATGAATAAATAAAATCTGTTTTTTTAAAAAAGTACTATTTACAATAGAATCCAAAAAGAAGGAATTACTTAGGTATAAATCTAACAAAATAGAATGAGGCCTTTATGCTGGAAACTACAAAATAAAACAGACAAAATCACTACATACCTATGAGAATGGCTAAAAAATTTTTTATAATAAAATGCTACAAAGTGCTGGTGTGGATATGAGTGACTAGAAATCTCACACATTACTTTGGGAATGTAAATGGTACTTCAGAAAATAGTAGAATTTTTTTTTATAAAGTTAAACATATACCTCCCATAGGACCCAACAATCCCACTCCTAGGCATTTACCTAATTGAAATGAAAACTTACATTTGTACCAAAACTGTTTTGTGACTGTTTATAGCAATTTTATTTACACTGTTAAAAACTGGAAACCACCCAAATATTCCTCAACTGATGAGTAGATCAACAAACTATGGTGCATTCATGCAATGGAATACTACTCAGCAATTTAAAAAAAGTGAACTACTGAAACACACATCTATCTAAACATGGATAGATTTCAAATGCATTACTGTAACTGCATTATAAAAGAAGCAAGACTCAAAAGGCTACCATCTGCATATTTCCATTTATATAGCATTCTGGAAAAGACAAAATGATAGAAAATATGCTAGCAATTGCTAGGAGCTGGAGATAGGGAAATGAGTACAAAGGGACTTGAATTTGTTGAGGTGATAGAACTGTTTATACCCAAAGATAAACTCAAAATGGATGAAAGATCTAAATGTGAGACAAGATTCCATCAAAATTCTAGAGGAGAACTCAGGCAACACCCTTTTTGAACTTGGCCACAGTAACTTCTTGCAAGATACATCCATGAAAGCAAAAGAAACAAAAGCAAAAATGAACCATTGGGACTTCATCAAGATAAGAAGCTTTTGCACAGCAAAGGATACAGTCAACAAAACTCAAAGACAACCTACAGGATGGGAGAAGATATTTGCAAATAACATATCAGATAAAGGGCTAGTTTCCAAAATCTATAAAGAACTTATTAAACTCAACACCAAAGAAACAAACAATCCAATCATGAAATGGGCAAAAGACATGAAGAGAAATCTCACAGAGGAAGACATAGACATAGCCAACAAGCACATGAGAAAATGCTCTGCATCACTTGCCATCAGGGAAATACAAATCAAAACCACAATGAGATACCACCTCACACCAGTGAGAATGGGGAAAATTAACAAGGCAGGAAACAACAAATGTTGGAGAGGATGCGGAGAAAAGGGAACCCTCTTACACTGTTGGTGGGAGTGTGAACTGGTGCAGCCACTCTGGAAAACTGTGTGGAGGTTCCTCAAAGAATTAAAAATAGACCTGCCCTACGACCCAGCAATTGCACTGTTAGGGATTTACCCCAAAGATTCAGATGCAACGAAACGCCGGGACACCTGCACCCCGATGTTTCTAGCAGCCATGTCCACAATAGCCAAACTGTGGAAGGAGCCTCGGTGCCCATCGAAAGATGAATGGATAAAGAAGATGTGGTTTATGTATACAATGGAATATTACTCAGCCATTAGAAACGACAAATACCCACCATTTGCTTCAACGTGGATGGAACTGGAGGGTATAATGCTGAGTGAAGTAAGTCAATCGGAGAAGGACAAACAGTGTATGTTCTCATTCATTTGGGGAATATGAATAATAGTGAGAGGGAATATAAGGGAAGGGAGAGGAAATGTGTGGGAAATATCAGAAAGGGAGACAGAACATAAAGACTTCTAACTCTGGGAAATGAACTAGGGGTGGTGGAGGGGGAGGAGGGCGGGGGTGGGGGTGAATGGGTGACGGGCACTGAGGGGGACACTGGTCGGGATGAGCACTGGGTGTTATTCTGTATGTTGGTAAATTGAACACCAATAAAAATTAATTTATTAAAAAAATAAAAAAAGAACTGTTTATACCTCGATTGTAGCAGTGATTACAAAACAGGGTGTTAAAAACTCACAGAACCATATACTAATGAGAGTGAATTTCACCATATGTAAATTATACCTTGAGAAGGAGGAGAAAAAAAGAGACAGAATATGTATAAACTCTAGAATCAGACTCCCTGAGCTGTGCCTCTTTATAAATATGGATCTTGGGCATATTCTCTAACACTCTAAGCATCAATCTTCTCAACTGTAAAGTGAGATTAGTTAGCTTTCCTTGTTGTTCTTCCATCATTATTATTTGGTGTCCTGTTACATACCTAACATTGTGCTTGATGTTAAGGATACAAAAATTAACTTATGGTGTGGCCCTTGCCTCCCAAGAGGCTACAACCTAGTGAATAAATAAGTGAATATAATTGTTTTATTACAAACATTTTAAAAACCTAATATTAAGTAATTATTAAGCCAAATTCACATTAATAGTTTTTAATATAGTTCAACTTTAGCAGGAATTTTCTAAAATAGGAATAGAAATTTCCAATCAAATCTAAGAAATCCTACTGGATGCCCAGATATTTCTAGAATTATCTCTACAGATAATTTTAAAGGCTTGAAATTGCATTTATTTATAAGTTTATCAGATTCAGAAAGAATATCAGCCTACCCTATCCTGTTTTTACCATTTTATTCTAGCATTTCAACATTAAGTAAGAGTATCAAGAAAATACTATAAAAATAATATGAAATTATGTTTCCTCATTTTCTAAGGCTTAATGTATCTTGATAAAATGTTTCCCTAAAAAGAAAAAGCTAAGAGGAATCCCTGAAAATGGATGAAGAAGCTTCGAAATATCCCAGAAAATCTGTTCCTTTAAAAAGAAAAGAATTAATGACTTCACCTTTCTGTCACATAAAAGATCCAGTAATCTTTGTGAGAGATGTATGTATTACAACTACACATCACAAATACACACCCAACACCTTTCTTGGCATATCAGCCATCTCTGTCCTCTCAACCAAGTGGGATGTCCTTACTTCAGGCATTAGAAGCCTGAAAAATTCATGCCAGGACATACTACAGCTACTTTTATAGCGTCAATTACATTTTCACTATATTCAGGATATCTGACAGGATAAAGCTCTAAAGACAGTTTGTTTTAAATGTGTCCTTTCCACTCAAGGCTTAAAGAAAATCAAGCTATTCTTATTTCAAAGATTTCCTATCTACTGTCATCTCACATCACGTCTCAGTGAAACACTGTGAAAAGTGTTCTTGGAGTGTTATCAACTAAAAATTTTGCAACAAGTATGGCTTTTTGCACAGGATTTCACACTGAATAATATAGTAACATCTAGAGATTCCTAACCTAGTGAAAAAAGGAGAACATTTTAAAAGATATTTTAAAAAGCATGACATATGCACAAGGGCTTCTCAAACAGAACCTATCGACTTGTTTTAACAATTTTATTTGATCTGAACTATTGTTCTGAAATATGGAGCCCACAAATATGGGTCTCCCATAGTTTTATATGTTGAAAATATTCCTAAGAAGAACATCTCTCAATAAGAAGCCAGCATGTTAAAAGGTATAAAGAGAGAGAGAAAATAAAATTCATATGATAACTAAAACAAGTCAAAAATAAGATTAGTAGAAATGCCCTTTGGAAGAACCCAGAGAAAATGATCACTGGCTACCTTACCTTGCTTTTTTCCATTAACATTTTCTAAAATACCAGATTGCTGGCTGTTAAAGCTGTGTTGAAGGTCACTCTTTTGTTTTTCAAGGTGATGTTCTTCCTCAGCAATAGAAGAAAGCACATGTGGTAGCTTTTGGTCATCAAGGGTCTGACTGGGCCACTGGGACATTATGGAACATGAGTCCTTTGCATGTTGGCTAAGTCTGGGGCTCAAACTTTGGGCAGAGTCCTGCAAATCACTATTACAACAGGAGAAATGATCCACTTCAAGAAACAAGGGATTTGCATCCTCTTGACGCCAATCATTGCCTTGTTCTTCATCTTCAAAGTAAGCTTTCTGAATCTGAATATCATCTAAGTCCTGGTCTAGCTTGTCACTCAATTTAGAGTCTTGTTTGCTTAAGTTAACCAGCGAAGCAGATAACATATCTCCTGCTTGCTGGAGAGCTTCATAAACCCGAGATATCCAGGAAGAGAGAGGCTGGAAGAAGTTCTGAGCATCCTGAGACGCCATGGCCAAAACCATGGCCAGCTATCTGATGTCTACAAGTCGACTTGTTCAGCTCCTTCAGTACTCTGGACTTAATGTGAACTATAGAATAAGCTTGATGACAAATTAAATTGGAGGTCTCTTAATGGCTGTGAATAGTTCACTCTCAAAACTTCTCAGCTGAAACAGAGGAAAGAAATACTTACACCTATTACAGTAACAACCTCAGACCCACTACCGATACCTGTAATCAATGTCAAACAACATTCAGGGACTAAAAGAGATCATCATTGAAATCTGAAAGTAGCTAAATAAAAATTACTGTGCAAGTCTAAATGTAGATTACTTCAATGCGTATTCACCTGCTCAGGCATGTGCAAAACTTTCATCAGCAGTAATGGGCTCTATTCATGTGGACTGAGAAGTCGATCCCCACATAGACCATACTTAACAGTGTAAAAAGGATAAATGAATCTTCATTAAGAGGTTGGATATGACATTTCAAAATACAAGAAAGGTTGGATGCTTCATCTACGAACCTGCAGATCCCAGCGAGCAGGCTAATAAGCATCTCTGCTTCATGACACAAAGATTTATCCTTTCAAAAGGAAATGTGTGCCTGGAATTAAAAAGCTTTTAACAGATCTTAAAGTAAGACTGTATATTTTTATGCAATTTCTACAAATCATATCTATTCTTGAGGAGCAAAGAACCACTAAAAAAACAGTGCGACAAGTGGAATATGCAGCTTACTAGAGACATGATCCTAGCATCTTGTTGCCTTTGTCTATGTTCTGACCTCCCAAAGACAACCCTCCACAACCTGGAAGACTCCTGAGACACCCTCCTTCCCCCAAATTCACAACCTAAAGGAGGCAGCTATAGGACATCATCAGAGCAACAAGGCACAATGAAGATTCTGGACCTAAACATCTATACTTATACACTCATACAAACACATACAAACATATACATACATGTATTTGCATAGGTATGTGTATTGTGTGTGAGTGTGGAGATATATATATATATATATCAATAAACAAATATTGATTAAGTGCCTATTAAGTTCTGGGCACAATGCCAAGTATAAGGTAACCTTGAGATCTCTGTCCCTATGGAGCCCACATTCCAATTAAGGGGAAACTGAGCTCTCTGCACTTTTCCTTTATGTTAAATAATTCATGAGTCTGTCTTTCAGGCTCTTCCTTGACTTCCCACCAAGTACATATATGCAACCATTCATTTTCCTATGGTTACTCCTCCTGCCCCTTCATATTCAATCAGCTGCAAGAGCTGACCCATCCATAAGACTCAACACTGTGTTTTTTTAACTCTAAAATATACATCACCAGCCTATAGTTCAATCCCTTTATACAGGCTTGTATCTCTTGTCATCTAAGCTAGTGATTACAAACTTTGTATGAGAATCACCTGGTAAGTGAAAGAAAAGAAAGAAAGAAAGAAAGAAAGAAAGAAAGAAAGAAAGAAAGAAAGAAGAAAGAAAGAAAGAAAGAAAGAAAGAAAGAAAAGAAGAAAGAAAGAAAGAAAGAAAGAAAGAAAGAAAGAAAGAAAGAAAGAAAGAAAGAAAGAAAAAGAAAAAAGAAGCTCAGATGGGTTAAAGGAATAGGCCCTGAATCTTTTTATTTTTGTCAAGTTCCTCAGGTGATTCTGACACACACCAGAGTTTGAGAAATGATGATCTAAGGATATAGCGACACTTGGGCATCTCACCAAAATCTCAAATTCAGCCATCAAAACCTAGCACATCACTTCTACTGCTACAAGTGTTCAATACTCTAGACTCACGATTGTGAATTTCTCTCTTCAACACTGCCCCCTTTGATTCCTTCCATTCCAAGTTCTGATAGCTTTCAGTCTATGAAGACTTCCATTGTGCTTTGTATGGTGATAACCTTTCCTACACTCTAATTTCCCCAGATGTTACATAACTAGTTGGTTTCCGTCTCGTCTTCCAAGCTTTGGTCCTTCCTCTGGATTTGCTCGCCATTACCTGAACTTCTATTACTTTTATTGCCTGTCTCCTCCTCTAGAATAGACATATCTAGAGGGCAGGTACCATATGTTTTATTCTCTAGCTTATCCACAGTGCAAAGAAGTGTTCTAAGCATGTAGTCAATTCTCAACAAATTTTTTAATATTAGTAACAACCAATAAAGATGAAAGGAATGTCATTGATATATTCCCAGGGGCTATATCACATTTCTTTATCATTTTAATTAGAATTCCATTTTAATTATAAAAATATTTACATAAGGTCATTTTAAACATAGAAAATGACTAAATAGTAAACACTAAAGAGTTGTTTCTATAGGGGGGATAATTATCAAATTCCTGAGCCATTGCTTTATCACATATTTTGATCATCCTCACCAAGGGTAATTGTGAACAGAAAAGTAGTGGTTCCATGCCCAGAATAATAACGCTCATGGTCCTTTAAAGGCTGTTAGTTAAATCTTTCTGACCCTATTTTCTATCTGATGACAGATGCTTGGAGGGAGAGAGGAAAGTTACCACCTAAGAAGAAATACTAGCTTCTGGGAGGTATGCCTTAAAAATGAATGGTATTTTGGTGAAAGATAAAGTGGAAGCCTGTATGCCTGTGTGATTTTTAAAGGATTATGAGATCCTGGAGAGAGTCAAAAACATTGAGAGAAAAGAAAATGTTTCTAATAATATGGTCCACAGGTAACCTAGCGGCAAATCAAAATCTTATACCAGTTAATCTACTGAAGTGTGTTAATGTTTAGCAATTTTTTTAAAGGAGAAATCACCCTGGAAAATCTATCCTTCTTCTTCTCTACCAAGATCTGTAGGGCAGTCATAAGTAAAAGTCAAGAATATTGGGTTTGGAGATGGGTGAAATAGATGTATGAGGTACAAACTTCCAATTCTAAAATGAATAAGTCACAAGGATGAGAAGTACATCATAGGGAATAGAGTCAATAATATTGTAATAACGTATGGTGACAGATGGTAATGGTGAGCAGTGCATAATGTATAGACTTGTCTAATTACTATGTTGTATATCTGAAGTTAATATAACAGTGTTTATCAATATACTTCAATAATAAAAAAATACGTAAAAAAAAGAATATTGGGTTTATCTGAAGTATCTTTTTATAGTCATCGGTTAACTCCCTTGTGTCTTCTCTTAAATGTAATTTAGTTATCACTGACTTCTTAGAGTGGTCATAAGGCTAATTAAGTCTATAATTTTATAACAATTATCATACCTTTCAGAGAATGGCATCTTGCATTACCTAGTGTGAACAAGAAAGCTTAGAAACATGAATAACACATAGAGTCAAAATAACTATAAAATGGGCTGTAATCCATCTTCAACATGATTCAAAAGAGACTACAGGTGTTTTCTGTTAAGAAAAAATTTGTTATATGGGTAGGAATATCTGTCACTGAGATGAAATATCTTTTGTAGCATTTGTCCAAAATGTGATCTAAAGGCTGAAATCCTAAATATAAAAACAGACTACTGAGGACCATTTACATCAATGATATGGATACAATACAATACAGCCATATTTTCATTGCTAGGGTATGTGCAATACAACAGACCCTTTACCACTAGACTTCAGGTGGGTGGCCAGAAGAGGGGAGGCAATTAGCATAAAGCTAAATGTGAAACTGCCCTATTACCAAAACATACTTTCATCAGTAGACATTGAGAAAAATGAGACAGCATGAAGAAAAGCAGTAGCAATGGACTTGGAATCACACAAAACACTGCTTAATGTTGGATAATCTTTCAGTTATGCCACAGCATGAGGCAAATCACATTACCTGAGTGCACTTAAAGTGTCTTCATCTACAATATAGGGAGTACTACCCTCTGTCTTACAATTCACAGTGGAAATTAGATTCCTCGATGTTTCTAAGGTACCTAGAATAGAATCCAGTACATAACAGGCACTGATTATCAGTTATTCATTACTAAACCCAAATTTGTGACATTTTAAAGGGCAAAACGTATCAAACTCTTTTAATCCTTTCTCTAATGTGCAAAGACCCAGAAACACAATACTACCATTATAGGCAACATTTGCCAGGCACTTTACAACATGCAATGTTTTTTGACAACCTATATAAACAAAAACTCTTTGTGAAAGATAGTAGCCTTTGCATTTTGTAGTTGAAAAAACTGAGGCTCAGAAGGGGTGATTTGCCCCAAGGTTCACACCTATAATAAATAATGTAGCTAGGATTCCAATTATTCCTTGAATTCCAAATTCTTCCTTTAACCACTATTCCAAAAGACCTTAGAAATAAAAAACGTAAAGGTATTTTCCTCATTAGTGGCCAAGGTGAGGTTCAAATCCAGGTTTGTCTGACCTCAAAGTCTATTGTCATTTTGTTTCCATTCCACCTTTGCTGCCTATTTCACTATAATGAAACTCTTTAAAAAATGAAACTATTGGAATTATTTTTCCAAAGTAAGTATAGTAAAGTTTTTTAAATATTCTAAACTACTGCTTAAGTTGAGGAAGATTTATTGTAAAATACATTTTTCAACCTATCCAACAGACAGCTTTGTGTTTGAGCATGATGACCTTAACAAAAAGACTAGGGTGGGTTCAACCAGAGCTTTAAATTGCTCAATGCTTTTGCTATTGTAACAATAGCACCTTTTATTCTCCAAATTTCTTAAGCCCATTCAGTATTTTAGACTATCTACTATGACACATAGTTGATTGTGTCATTCCATTTTTGAAATGACTTAAAATTACTTTTACTGCTCCTAAGATGAAATCCAAAATCCTTCACAGGACTTGGAAGGACATGCATGGTTTGACCCCTTCTTATCTGTAACTACTCTCTATCTGCTCTTTGTTCTTCAGTATCTCGTATCACCCCTTCATCTTACTTCAACAAACTCCTCCAACTGAGACCATGCTCCTCCCTCAGGCTTTCTTCCCCTGTCCCCCAAAGCCCATCCACCTCCTTTCCTGTCTCAGCCTGACAACAGCCATCTCAGACTCAAGTATGTCTTCTTGAAA